TCGGTCAATTGCTGGCACTTGTAAACTTAAATAGTTTGTCCAATGTCACACAAGCATGCATAAGTTTATAACCATGGTTCCAACTACTGTGAACTGGCATAAATATATGGATTATAGACGTGATTTAACCGCCTACAGTTGTAAGGAATATTATCTTAAAGTCAGTAACTTTGATATGCTACGGTAAAACTGAAAAATACTAACGAAGTAATGAATAATCATGAGTATAATCTACTAATTCTACTATAATAGATAATTTTTCGTTGGCTAATATTTTTTATTACATTTTAAGATTAACCACCGACTGAATTACGAGCACCCAATTTGATATTATCTAATATATTATCATAGCCTATAGCTATATTTTAATATTTTGTTAATAGTTAAACGAGATATCAATATATTATTATTAATAATGTCACATTAGAAATAATACAACTTACTTGACAATACCAAAAAATTAAATAATATTTTCAAAGAAAACTATAAATGCTAGCGCCATCTACTTGACTAATAACACCACAAATGACTAACACATAATCAATGAAGAAATTGTCGCTAGATGGCAACACACAGTACAATATTTCACAACATTATAATTATTAATAAATAAAAAATGATTAATATACTACTTATTTTTTTAATAAATAATATTTCAAATCATTAAGTAATTCTAAAACATGATATCCGACATTAATGTCATTTATTTTTTTAAATTATTAAATAGTTTTAGACGAATAATAATAATTAAACTATACAATACAAGTATCATTCGCCCATAAATGTTTTACGAATTTAATTAAAGATAGCGTTGTTCCTTCGATGAAGTCTAATAAGTAAATCATCATACAAATTTCCAATCGGTAGGTAAATTGAATATTTTGATAATCATATTATACGATAGTAAATTAATATTTAAATAAATTAAATGAACAATTATTATTGTACATTTTMAACTATAAATGCATAATTATTAAAAGCTTTGTTTGTAGTAATATTCTTTTCACAAATAAAAAAAATAATAAAAATATCAACAAAAATTATACCGATTGTTGTATCTTAGGTACACAATGCGCAGCGTATATAATATAAATAGATTATATCCGGAACGTGTAATTCACGAGAAATTAAAACGTCGAAAATAATTTWAAAAATACRACGCTGTCTTCAAATTACTTATAACATGACGAAGTAGCATGCATGCGTAATATATTAATCCACTAACTTAATGACGGATTTATCGACTTGGAAAAAAGCAATGTTTTCAACGATAAAATTAAAAAACGATCTGGGCGTGGGTAGRTTCAGTCGTAATTTGATGTTGTATKTGAGTATAGGTAGGAAATATTACCTGCACAGTGATCTCCGATCTGTCGGTAACCCGGTTGGCACCCACACTTGTACGATCCGTGTGTGTTGATGCACAGTTGTTGACATATGTGTTGGCCAGTAGTGCACTCGTCCAGGTCCCGACAAGTGGTGTTGTCGGGATTCAACACGAATCCGGCGGGACAGCCGCACGCGTAACCACCTTCCAGATTCTGACACGACATTTCGCATGGCGACGGATTGAGTAGGCATTCGTTTACGTCTGCGACACATTAATTGTATACATACTCGTAGACATAGAATATGACAGTGTCGTACGCAGTATTTTTGAATGGGGGGAGGGGGCTTTAAAATAAAAAATCACTCAGTTGTCTCAAGATAAAGTTTAAAAAATAAAATAGATATTTTCTTAGTCATATTATGGTAGTAATGTAATACATACAGGGCTATTCTTTTATCAAACAACCCTCATATGGTGTTTGTGTGTAAATACCACCAAACATACACCTACAACACACAAACACCACCCAACTTTGGTAGGCTATTATATTATATTATTAACGGATAAACGAAAAATAATGAATATTTAAACCTGAAAATTCATTGAAAAAATAGCCTTTTTAGTATAGGTATTATGAAATTTTAAGTATAGGTTGTCATTTGAAAATCAAAAGTTGATAATGGTTTACCTGATAACTAAAAGGGTGAAAATATTTATAAAAATATATAGTTATAGAACAAGGTGGATCTAAAATTTTGAAAACAAAAAAAATTTGAAAAAAGTCAATAGTTTTTGAAATAATGAGTGTTGTTTGATAAAAGAATCACTCTGTATATATGTATATAGACTATAGTTGTAATAATTAGGTAAACACACGATTTAATAATATATTAAATCATGGTTAAATATAAAAATAAATAATGATAAATAATATTGTCAATGGGGAGCACTTCTGCGTACGTTACTGAGTCATAACGCATAATATGTGAAAGATCATAAACGTTAAGGTTTGCACATTGGCTTGTGTTCAAGTGCAAATGAGACTTAAACAAGAAAAAAATTTCTGTTCTGTCCGTCATCATGATATTATTATAGAATACGACAGATTTGCTTACCATTGCAATGCGTTCCGGTGTGATCGACTTTGAACGCCTTGTTGCAACTGCATCTGTACGATCCTAGCGTGTTTATACACCTACCGTTAGCGCACAAATCTGGTAAAGTCTCGCATTCGTTTATGTCTGTAAAATATAAATCAGATTTTTTAGAGAATACGAGTGTGGTGTACCTATTATAGGTATGGTTGCTATATGTTATAATAGTGTATAAAATATATAAGTATTAGTATGCAACAAGAGTGTTCGAAAGTTGCTAATAATTTTTTTTTAAGCAGACATTATAAAAAAAGAGTAAGTTGCGAGAACGTCAGAAAAATTTGCCATATACTTTCGTCGTCTTCAATAACTTTAAATTTTAAATTTTACATTTCATAAACGGTAATAAAAATATTTTTATACTTTAGTATAATAGATGCTCTTCGTACTTAAGTTATGTGTTAAAGTTCATATCAAAATCATAATATGATATTAAATATATATCCATAATATATTGATTATACATTATTCTTTATGAATTAATAAACGTATTGCTTATTATTGAGCACCTACCTAATCAATTATTATCATATAATTAATCGACTTGGACGTATGATAATTATTAATATTTTAACGTATTTTAAAATTATCGACTATTTGATGTCCGTCGCCATAATCTTTTAATCATTATCACCACAACACTCACCTTGACCGTCGATCGTGTAGCCAGATTCCAAACACAGTTGTCTGAAAGAATCCGAAGACGGAGACGGACACGGTTGACATTGAGGTCCCCAGGCGGCGGCCATCGAACAACAGCAGTCAGCTTTCGTCACGGATCTGTAGGCAAAGGCGCCCGTGACGTTTCCGCCACTCACACCGCCGCCGTGACTTATACACCTGCCGTTCAGCAAATGTCTGTAGCAAAATCCGACTCTAGAATCTTATACACGGAATCCAAATGTTATTAATCGGTCCAACATATTGTAACTGTGTCACGGGTAAAGGACAATGTTGTTATTATTATTATTATTATACAGGATGCGGTTCAGCAACTATCAGCTTTTATCCTGATTTCGTCCTTTAAACACACGCTATACATTTACAACCTACGACCTATTCAAATAATTTAAAATTATATTTAATATTCTTAAATACAAAATATGGAGATTAGTTATGTTTGGCTAAATTACAGTTTTATTCTTACAGAACCTATATAATCGAGATATGATAGTATAGGCTATAGACTATATAATTTGAAAATCGTWGAAAAATCATACTTTATTATTTGGAAAACGGTTTTGTAYAAAATTAGTCATACGACAGTGCGACACTCTTTAAATGAAATTGTAAATTAGTGTTATTTATTAAGGTTTTCTTAACTAGTTCAATATATAATATTAGGTAGGATTCAAAAAATCAAATTTGAATAAAAGCGAAAGGGTAAAAATTGTGGTGAGCATATATGTTATGTTGCAWGTGAATCACTCTGTATAATATTATGAAGGAAAATACATCAGAAACTGTACGCATAGGTATAGGTATTATTAATATCGTTGTTGTTGCTACAAGTACTTACCTATACACTGCTTTCCGTCGTAACTGGTCTTGAACCCATCATAGCAATCGCATTTGTACGTGCCTGGCTGGTTGACGCAATATCCGTTTTGGCACACGTTCGCATTTTCAGCACACTCGTTGATGTCCCTACACTCGTCCGAGCCGACTTGAGCGTAACCCTCAGGACAGATGCACGCAAAAGATCCGATCAGGTTCTTGCACGCGAATTTACAATTGTTCGCCGGTGTCATGCACTCGTCAACGTCTATTGAAAGAGAACAGTGATGTGCAGAGTTACATTGAAATTTAATGTTATACGAATTATTTTCGTATTTTTAGCCTAAATATTACCTAACCTAACCTAACCTATTGTAATAGTATAATAACAATTAAAAATTAAATACCTATAAAAAAACGTCATACACATTACAAGATACGACACTTAGAACAAATTCTATATATATATATATGTATATATATATATATAATATTATTATATTGGTGTTATTTTAATGATATACCTTGACAGTGTCTACCGTCTGGAGCCAAAGCGTATCCGTACGGGCATATGCACCTAAACGATCCGGGAACATTGTGACAACGGAAAGCACACTGATTGGCCATTTCCAGACATTCGTTGACGTCTTCACAGATCTTTTTGGAAAAGAAAAACCAGAGTATAACTTAACTAGCATAAATCAGTGAGTAAAAAAGTGGTCGTAAAACCGTGGTTTACCTGTGTCGGTCCCGGCGCGAATCCATCAGCACAGATGCATTCAAATCCACCCTGCAGGTTAGTGCACGTCCCGTTCCCACAAATGTTTACGTTTATCTTACACTCATTCTCGTCCGTGCATTTTTTTCCTGTAGAATCCAAAACGTATCCAACAGGACACTCGCACCTGTAAGATCCATCCGTGTTTATGCATTCGCCCCCRTCACACGGGTTAGTCATGAAATCGCATTCGTTCAAGTCTTCACCCTTGTCCCCACGACCGACGCCCTCTGGACATAATTTTGAGAACGCTTCTGCATGACCGATGAGAGATTTAAACACAAATAATAATAATAAAAATAATAATATATTATTAATATTATGTAAAATAATAAAATCTGTTTTTACCGCTTCCGGGTTTTGGGCAAGCCGTGCAGAGCCTACCCCAACCACCTCCCATCGAACAACAACACTCYTTCTCTGTTATCTTCTGTTTTCTGGGAGCCAAGCAGTTTCCTATTGAACGCGATACAGTATAATATTATAATACTATACATGTTTAATGACTGATTCAGTCAAACTGAAATCCAGAGACGTACGTAGACGACAACATTTCCGATGCAATTTTCGGAAAAATGCGTTATYATTAGAGTAATTAGTTCAAGATTATAAACTTAATTTTCACTAAAGCGAAAAATTTAAAATTTAAGGTATAATATATTACTGCAGAGGGTGCAGTTTGACCAACCCTTGCTAAAGGAAGTCGATTAACTTTAAATAGCTACACCAATATAATTCTATACTGACCGGACAAAAATTTATCATAACAGTGGTCTTGTCTAGTGTCTATACATTTCATGCCGTTGGAGCTGAGTACGAAACCTTCGGGACAGTCACATATAACGCCACCGTCTGTGTTCATGCAAGTTCCTCCATCACATATACCAGGCATTTCTTGACATTCATTGATGTCTTAAAAAAAAAAAGTTTTATACGTAGATTTTATTTGTTGAAATTGAAAAACTTATAGGCATAGGTATATTTGTGCTAACCGAGACACGAGTTTTTGGCGGCCGACAATCGATATCCAGGTGGACAGGTACACAAAAACGATCCCATCAGATTTTGACACCTCCCCGGCTGAGGACAAGTGTCTGGTAT